GCTCTCTGTAAGCACTGAATGGTGAGTGCAGTGCTAAGCACACAGCCTGAACCTATAAGCACAATAACCACCCCCTTCCAAGAGCGCTGATTCTGACATTCAGGTAGAAACAACTGGGTCCAGGGGTCCCAATGAAGTAAGAGTAAAGCCCTGAAACTGTGGTTTTTGCCTCTCTCATTTACCACACAGAGAATCAGTATTTTACTAAGGGAAGGCTAGTCACTGCTGAAACAGACCTCAAAATATATTATGGCTCAAACACCTCAGAACTTTGTGTCTGGGAAAGGGGTGAATGAGGTCTTCCTCTTATTCACACCGAAATAGGGATTCAGGCTGCAAGGCTCTGCCATCTTTATCAGGGTCACTCTATTGGCTAGAACTCAGTTACCTGTCGCACTTAAGCGCAAGGGAGCTTGGAATATGCATTCTTGCTGTGGGCTCAGGAAGAGGGAAATGTGGGTTTTGGTGACTAACCAACAGCCTCAGCCACTGTATTTTATGACTTTTCCCTCCCCTTCCAAGCTTTCCCTTGTGCTCCGTGGATATGTATGGATGCATGTCTGTACATACGTGTGTGTGTGTGTGTGTGTGTGTGTATGTCTACACACACACTATGTTTTATACAGTAAACTTTTGATCCCATCTGTATAATAAATGCCAGGGAGCCTCACACAAAGATGGGTGACCCTTTATTTGGAAGGAATGGGAATAAGTGGATATTACGATATCATAAAGAAGCTTTGCTTAGCTTCCTCTGAGAGGCACCTTCAGACAAGGGGGATAAACCCTCCCACGTCCACACTTCCCTTAGGGACCTTATCAAGATCCACGCAAACAATACACTCATGAGGGGCTCATCTCCAAGCTGGCAAAATACTAGTACAGTACATGATTTCCCCTTATAAAGGGAGCAAAATGCTTGGTATTTCCTTGAGACCCTCAATGATTTCATTTTCTGGCTAAGAATCATCACGCCTTAGGATCAGCACTTTCATCACCAGCACTAGAAGTTGGCTTTCTTTCTCAGAGCAATCTTTCACAAAGAAAGCATATTTCACTTCAAATGTGCATTTTACACATTAAACGAGGGGTAGAAACAGTGCTGCCCTGGAATTTGGACACCGGGCAACTGCTAATCCACCACTCTTAGGTTAGTTACCCCATACCCACCTCCCAAAGCAGTTGACTGAAAAACCATGCCTCAGCAAAAGGCCAAATCAGCATATGCTATGGACTTTTCGTGGTCTATCTCAAATGAGAAATCACTGGCTTGCAAATGATCTACTATACACAAATATACTAGACTATACACTCTGTTGGCAAGGTATATACATGATTTTTCTTGTTATTCCCCACAATGCCTCGTCTATATACCATCATTCAGTAAACATTTGCTGAATGAATACCGTCATTTGAAAAATTTGTCATCTATAAGACCTCTGCATGTGTCCACATAAGGGCTGCCAGTCCTGGGGACTCATCCATATGACTCACTTTGTACACAATCTTGCTAACAGGTGTGAGATAAACGCCTTCCGACTGTGACAGTGACAATGCTGGCAATAACGTGACAGCATGATCAGCCACAAAACAGAAAGGACTGGGCTGTTTTATGCCTGTGGGTCTACTCAGTCCCCAGAAGTAATGCAAGACCCCAGGTCCTAATACAGTTCCCTCAGCCCTATTCCTATCTCCCATCCCTGTTTTAATTTTCTCCAGAGCTCATATCGCCATCTGACATATTTAACTTATTAGTGTGCCCTTCTCCCAACGAGAAGCTCTATAAGGACAAGGAATTACGTCCATGTTGTCCAGCACCTAGAAGAGTGCCTGGCACACCAGACATACTCAGTAAACATCTGTGGAAGGAATGGATGAAATAAAGAAGATATTTGGATTCTTTTCTCCAAATCTGAAGATTTTAGCCACAAAAGAAATGATCCCTGCAATACTCCAGCATGGTTAGATTCTTCTGACCTAGTGAGAACATCTCAAAAAGAGATCTCACAGACAACACATTTGTTAGGTCATAAAGCAGGGTTTCTAGAAACCCAAGTTATTATCATGTCATCTTAAAGTCCCCAAATAAACTGAGAATGGACAGAATCTCCAGGAGTGGACACACGTTGGGCAGCCTTTCACCAAACATGGACCACATGCGCAGACCTTGTTCCCTCTCCATTCTAGACACTTGCCCATGGAGCCGGCACCAGCACCTGAAGCGTGAAACTGAACAGGAGGATGGGAAATTCCTTCAAACAGCTTCAGAAACCAGTTTTCCTGAGTCTCACATGAGCAAAATGATCAGATCCTAGACCCAGCTCTACCCCTGGGAAGTAGCCACAATTCATTTAAAGGAAGAAAAAATATGGTTCAAGTTCAAATTCTCAGCTTTCCAAACATGGCCATGACCTGATAAAATAAACTCCTTTAGGTTGTTAAGAAATCACTGAATGTTAATATTAATTTACCAAACTCTTGTTTGAACTTTCAAATACGCATTATATTTAATTTTTGGCATATGGGAGAACAATGTCTATCGGGAACGATGATCCTTGTTCATTCATTCTTCTGTTGACTCTCAAATAGTAATTAAATAATACTCACAAAGTAATGGTAAAAAGACTACCAGCTTGAAACTGTGTAACACAAATGATATTTTACACACCAAAATGTTTTTATACATTTTACACATCAGAAGTTTTTAGAATTTACATTCTAAAGACATTAGGATCTAACAATTCATAGAAGAAGGGCAAAGTTTCTAAATCCCAAAACTCTCAACTGTTGTGGCCTCTCCCGTTGTGGAGCACAGGCTCCGGACGCACAGGCTCAACGGCCATGGCTCACGGGCCCAGCCGCTCCGCGGCACGTGGGATCTTCCCAGACAGGAGCACGAACCCGTGTCCCCTGCATCGGCAGGCGGACTCTCAACCACTGTGCCACCAGGGAAGCCCAGAAGAGTTGTTCTTATACCCTCAACCATACTTTTCAAATTTTCCACTAAGACTCTATTCAAGTATATTCTAGCCAAAAGGTTTGTGTCAAGTTTTGTTTTTGTTTTGTTTTTTTCTTTTTAAAGTAAGTACTACCCTAGTCAGCCCACCAGCCAGCCAATATGTATTATGTGTTAAATCCAGTGCTAGGCATGGGGAATAATGAGACTCAGATATAACTTTCACCGTGAGCTACTGGATAGATTCATCAGCAAGATACAAAGGATACACTAGATGACAGCCAAGATTGTTTCCAGCAAATTTGTTTTGTTTTGACTTCAGAACAACTATAAGACTTTTTAAGACATCGAGTTAAGTCAGGCAACAATGAAAAAGTGAAATTTCTAACTTAGGGGTTTGGGATTAGCAGATACAAACTATTACATATAAAATAGATAAACAACAAGGCCCTACTGTATAGCACATGGAACTATATTCAATAGCCTGTAATAAATCATAATGGAAAAGAATATGAAAAAGAATATATATATGTATAACTGAATCACTTTGCTGTACAGCAGAAAATCAACTACACTTCAATAAAAAATTTTTTTTGGAAAGTGAAATTTCAAAACAGTTTGGTAAGTAGAGAAATCTTTCTTTTTTTGGCCCACCACGTGCTTGCAGGATCTCAGTTCCCCGACCAGGGACTGAACCCAGGCCATGACAGTGAAAGCCTGCAATCCTAACCACTAAGCCACTAGGGAACTCCCAGTAGAGAATTCTCCATCACTGGGTTTAATACCTGATGTTCTAAAACTTAAACATACATGTATCTTATTTCCTAGAGACTTTTTCCTCTTAATCTCATTTGCAGATCACTTGAGTTCTTTGCTTTTCCATTCTCCTACTTGCTTCTCAAAGCAACAGAGAGAAAAATTACACAAAACTATGTAATAAAAAATTAAACCACATTTTTCCCCAGACCTAAGTCCACAAATGTCACGTTCCACATATCATGGAGCATAGTCAAATGCACAGAAAAGCTCTCCCCGCTCAGTGAAATAGAAACCCAACAGGCCCAATCTCACTCACTAAGGAACATGGCATGGCCACAGTGTCACATACTCTTTGAGAACTCACTCCAACTTGGTGTTGACGCTCAACTAAACAGAGCAGCTTTTCTAGTCCCACTGGTTTCTGTTACTGGGCTCCAAACCACCCACATATAGACTCTTCATGCAAAAATGACATCACACACAAAAAACTTGCATTTAGTACCAAATCAAAATACCACACATTTGAACATCACGTGATCCTAAATTTAAGCAACACTGACTGCCACTGTATGTTACAAATCACTCAATGCCACTACTTATTATCTTTTCTTGAAAGAATAAAAGCACTCCCCAGAGAGAAATCCTGTTCTAATAGGCTACCCCCACTTTTCACACCAGTCCAGCTTCACCTCAAGGGTACAGAACACAACTGCTCCCAACAGTGGCTCACTGAGCTTTGGGGGAACAGGCAAGAGGTCTTCAGAGTTGCAAAAGCACCCTGGGAGAGCCTAAAATAGTTTCCTTTTCCTCGTGGGAATCATCAGTATAATCGATCCCACATCCAAATGCACTTGTGTAATTCTGAGTTCTCACCATTACAGATTTTTAGCCAAGGCAGTCGTCACAAAGAGTTGTTACATTCTGGCTCACCTTATGATGGATATTCTCCCTTAGACTTGGAATGAGATTTATGGACTACTCCACAGTTGCTTGGAATTAGACACACAGCAAGAACAAAAATAATATGGCCCTCATTTTCACCTCAATAAAATGATTCTCCAGTAAACCTGTTCAGGCAATTAAAATCAATTTCAATTTCCGCTTCCTAAGCTTTTCTATTCTTCCTTAAGAGAAAGAAGGGCATTAAGTAAACAAAACCTGAATTTAAAATCTGACTTCAAATTGCCTGGGGCTAATTCATACTTAAGTAAATAAATAAGTGTGGCATAAACTAATAAATATCTCATATATATGTAAAACATGTTTTTATAAAGCATTCACCTACCTTTAACTCAGCCTTTTCGTTAGGACTGCACTTCATGAAAAACTCCACACACACAGCACCTTCCCTCCTAGATCAAGGTCCTTATGAAGGAACAGAACTTTCTAAACAGGAAACCAAAGTGTAGTAAGGCGGGGCCATTTTCCTCAATGACACCAGAACCCAAAATTCCTGACATTCCCCAGCCATAAGTTCAAGGCTTGCTACATCATAAACCACATGCTGTGGTTCACTGAGCATATGGAGACAGGACTGTTCAGTGAATTGAACATGAAATTTAAAAAAAAAATTTTTTTTTGCAATTTGGTCAAAATGGCAAATATGAAAGAAAATAAAATTTTGACATGACCCATGGTAGTGCCCATCCCTATGAAACACTATCTTTACTCTGACTTGCATGTATTCTAAAACTATCTTCAGCAACATCAATGAATGACTTGCTAGAAAAGCCCAGGCACCTGACTTTACAAGTCCATAAATCTAAATGCAACCAGTCACCTAGAGCAGATATTTAAATCATTTTGCTATGACATTTAATGTCGAGAAAAATAACAAGCAAGGCTCCAGTGGAAAATGAGTTTGCTCATAAAGAAAAAAACATATTAGTATTCAAAATCTACTTTCCAACAAAGAAATCTGCATTTTACTGAGAGTCCTGAAACTCTGGACAAATTGTTTACCTGACTCCCCACCTGAACCACAAAGTAATGATAAAGCACCTGAACAGTGATGTGAGCTCTGAGCCAAGCTTCCTCTATGATGACACTTTTCCAGATGGCACCTGAGTCTGTCAGGTGTTTCGTACTTTGGCAAATACTCAAGGACGTTACGTAAGGCTGATCGTCTCTGGTACATACACTAGCTTCAAAAAGCCGTTTTGAAGGCTTACTTCCTTTTCTTATGATGGAAGCTCTCCTGTGTAGCTGGGAAATAAGAGTCAATGTTGTTCAGTATCCAAAAGAAGATGCAGTTACTGGGAATGGTAAACAAAGGACAAGTTACTGAGTTCAGCTCAACACAGTGAGACAAAATAAAGATTCCCCCAAGGAGCTAGAACTGCAAAATCCAGTGGTTTTAAGTAGCCATCTTTTAGAGGTTTGTATACTATTCAGTGATGGAAAAATTATTTTATTTATTTATAATTTGACTGAAGTATAGTTGATTTACAATGTTTTTAATTTCTTCTGTACAGAAAAGTGATTCATTTAAACAAATATATATTCTTTTTCATATTCTTTTCCATTATGCTTTATCACAGGATATTGAATATAGTTCTCTGTGCTATACAGTAGGACCTTGTTGTTTACCCATTTTATATATAATAGTTTGCATCTGCTAATCCCAAACTGGTGATGGAAAAATTAATATCCCAGGCTTAAGGCACCATTATCTGAAAACTGCAGGATGCTTTCTTGCAGGATTTGATTCAACGAACTACAAGATGAAAAAAAGGTATTTCTAAGCTACGTGGTCAAGCAATCAATCGGTACCTGGGTTCAGAAATTAGTGGGAAATGCATGAGCCATTATTTTTTAATTAATTAATATTTTTGGCTGTGTTGGGTCTTCATTGCTGTGCTTTCGGGCTTTCTCTAGTTGCCGTGAGCAGGGGTACTCTTCGTTGTGGTGCGTGGGCTTCTCATTGTGGCTTCTCTTACTGCGGAGCACAGGCTCTAGGCACGCAGGCTTCAGTAGTTGTGGCACGTGGGCTCAGTAGTTGTGGCGCGCGGGCTCTAGAGCTCAGGATCAGTAGTTGTGGTGCACGGGCTTAGTTGCTCCGCGGCTTGTGGGATCTTCCCCGGCCAGGGCTCGAACCCGTGTCCCTTGCATTGGCAGGCGGATTCTTAACCACTGTGCCACCAGGGAAGCCCGCATGAGCCATTATTGAATTCCACAGGCCAAGCAGGCTTTCCGCCAGATGACTGAAATCTTTAAAAGCTGCCATGCTAATGAGTTACTACTGCATTCTGAATTTCCTTACTGTGACCAGAAAAACAACATATTCAGTGCATGGTTTTACATTATATCATGGAGCTATAGCAACCAATCACCCTGCCTCTACATCTGTTTTTCCCTTTTTGACAGCCATTCCGTTGGAGAAAAAGAACTGCTAATTTTGTTTGGTGGCCTCTAAAATGTACACGTCTGGCATTTCGGGCAGTGTTTACAATTTCTAAGCTTTAATCAATCATAAATTTTGGACATCAGTGATTGTTTTACAGGGAAAAAAACTACTGCATAAAAATCTAGGTTCAAATTCTGGTTTTGCTATTTATTAGCTTTGAGATTTGGAGCAGATCACAACCACATAATAAAAGAGTTGACAAAAAACGGAGCTGATTTACAAGGTCACCAGTGATTCCATGTACATAAGAAATGTTAAAAAATGAGCCTAGAGCAGCAGTTCAAGTTTTTTGGTCTTAGGACCCCTTCACATTCTTAGAGATTATTGAAGACTCCAAATTCTAGAAAACAAGACTATACACACATTCCAAGAGCCAACATGTAGCCTCTAGAAAACTCCACTAAACACATAAGAAAATAAAAGAGGTAAACAATGCCTTAGTACCACAATGAAAACTGTTTTGACTTCACAGACCGCTTCAAAGGGTCTTGGGAACCCTCAGGCACCCTCAGATTATACTTTGAGAACCACTGGCCTCGAATATCTTAACATACAGAAAGCAGAGAAGCTGTCAAAGGCCACTAGAATCATATCAAGAGGATCCAGGAGTCAGCACAAAGGGACTCCCACTGGCCAAAGACGGGACAATTTTAGTGTCAAGAATAAATGCAATGGACTGAAACACCAATATTTTTTCATTCATGAATTCTTCATGAATCACATACCTCTCTCACTCTCTCTCAATGGCTACCTTTTGAGGACATTACTAATTAGCTGGCTAATGGAGCCAACAACAGTTGACCCTTGAACAACATGGGTTTGAACTGTGCGGATCCACTTACATGTGGGTTACTTTCAGTAGTAAATACTACAGTGCAACACAATCTGCTGTTGGTTGAACCCACCAATGGGGAGGGTCGGACTATAAGTTATATGTAAATTTTCAACTTCATGAAGGGTCAGCACCCCTAACCCCCATGTTGTTCAAGGGTCAACCGTAATTACTTTAAAAACTGGTAAATAAAGAGAAAGAATCAGACATATTTCCTGCCTTTCCTACATAAATTTTACCCAGGACAACCAAGTAGCTGATTAGAAGTTTCCCTTTATTCAAGTATTCCAGTTAATAAATGAAGAAATGATGGAAATGAAGATTTTGAAACCCCTAATGAATTGATTAGGCAGCAAGGATCACCATTAACTGTTCACATCTCTCTCTTTTTCTCTCCTTCTCTGTCTCTGTCTCTCTGTCTCTGTCTCTCTGTCTCACACACACACACACACACACACACACACAGAGGGAACTGGTGTTAAATGCCTCCTGATAAGAATACACACATACTTAAGAGTATTCTTGACAAAAACTGGAAATAGAATTTGACCCAGCCTCTAGATGTGACTACCAATTCCCAAGAAATTTGGTGGCTAAAGGAATACGTTAAACACAGGAACACTTAACATTTAACTCTGTGGGATGTTATTGGCAAAATCCATCCAAGAAACCAGAATAAATGGTCTGGTTTGGCAAAAAATAAATTGCAAGGAAAAGATAGTGAAGGGTGAACCTACAGACTAAAAGGTACTGAAGAGGCATGTCAATCAATTGCAATGTCTGGGCCTTATTTGGATCCTGATACAAACAAATCAAAAAAAAAAAAAAAAAGAAAACAGATAAATCTCAGCCCTGACTAGATATTTCATATTTGATTATATTACAGAAGTTCTTAAAGTATGATAATATTACAGTATTAAAAGAAAAGAAAGAGTCCTTTTCTTTCAGAGATGTGTATAGAAATACTTACTAGTGAAATAATAGGATGTTAGGGATTTGCTTCAAAATAGTCCAGGGTGTGGGAAAAGAGGTTGGGATCTAAATGAAGAAAGATGGCTATAAATTGACCATTGTTGAAGCTGAGAGAAAGGCACACAGGGTCCACTGTAATGTTCTATTTCTGTATGTTTGAAATTTTCCACTCCAAAAAAACAGAAGTGGCCATGAAAACATCTGCTTGTCTTCTCCAGTGATTCTGTGAGCTGGGAAGGCAGGTCCTCTCTGCCGCCCAGCACTCAGCAGCATGGACCACACAGCAAGTTTTTGAGGCACTCCATGACCCAGGCTGCCAGCTGACCTGTGACAGGGTAGGTTCAGCAAAGAAGCCCTGAACCCGCTGTCTCTGAACCTGAGACATCTTTCCAACAGAGCAGGAAACAACACTGCATTTAGAGTATGATCCTAACCAAGAAACAAAAACTCAGCACAGAGAAAGGTGTAAAAACTCTTCACAGATAAAGAACACACATGAAAACAGTAAGTTTAAGGTTTTTGTTGTTGTTGTTTATTCTCCCGGGTATAGGGACTACGAGAATCTGCTTTTATTTGCATCTACTTCTCTGAATTTCCCAAATTTTCTGCAATTACTATATGAAATGTGGGAAGAATAAACTATTTTTTTTGCAGTACGCGGGCCTCTCACTGTTGTGGCCTCTCCCGTTGCGGAGCACAGGCTCCGGACGCGCAGGCTCAGCGGCCATGGCTCACGGGCCCAGCCGCTCCGCGGCATGTGGGATCTTCCCCGACCGGGGCACGAACCCATGTCCCCTGCAGCGGCAGGCGGACTCTCAACAACTGCGCCACCAGGGAAGCCCCAGAATAAACTATTTTTAAGTCATCTATAATAACCAAAACTCTACAGACAGTTCTTTTTAAATAGTAAGAATATTTTCTTTGTTATATTTCTGTGAACCTTTCCATGGCTCAGATAAAGGAAGAACATTATAATCATGAAGAAAATATTAAAAACTATCATTGAGGGATTTTTAATTCAATTATGAAAGCAACAGAAAAACATCCTTTTTATATTTGGGAAACGGGAGATAGTCTTCATTATCTTTTCCTCTATAAAATAAAGGAGAGATGCTATTTTTTAAAAAACCCCGTCTGGACAACCTAGTCCAAGAAAATCTCTTGAGATTCTTCTAAAA